ACGAGAGGTATGAAGTCTGGCAGGATGTTACCACACGCATACACACAAAGTGCGATAATATTCAACTTTTTATGCTGGTGTTATAAATAGGGGTGTCTCTTCTCATTTTCTTTTAACTGCATAAAAAATATATGAGCTCATGCGTTAAGCAATCCTAAATACCTCCAAATATAGTTTTCTAACTACCTCTTGAGCATATTCAAGTAGGATTATTCAAGGATATAAACACTTTTACATCCTATTTGACACAGAAAGTCTATATTTTAGAGTGAATATGAAAGTTGTACCTGAAATAAACTCTTTATATCAGTTTGATAAAAATTCTATTTACTTAAACATGATATTTTAAATGAAAATGGTGAATTGCTTTGAATTCACTTAAGCCATGTCATACCATCATTTTGTCACAAGAGGGACTAGATATTCAAAAAAATATAGCTTTCCCTTTGGTTTTAAGACTATTTCTCTATCATTTGTTGTTTTACATATTTTGGATTTCTGTCAGTCCAAGTGTCACAGAGTATCATACTTTTATATATATTTCATATCAGTAAAAATATTAACTACAGCATTAGGTTGCCATCTAACTTCTGAATGTTGAATACGTAGAAATTTTCTAGCTTGCTGAACTATCATAATTATTGTCTATGTACTTTTGGAAAAGAATTGTTTTTATTTTTATGTTATATTTTTTATAGTTTTAAATGCTGAGTGGAATATATATATAATATTTATTATATACATAAATTTGTTTTATTGTTTTAAATTGAAGTACAATTTCTAGATACCTGAGAGCATTCTCATCCGACCTCAAATTTAATAGAATAAGTTAAAGTAACTATGTGTCTTCTCCTATAATAAAACCATGTGCAGACAAGGCGTTATCCACTTGGCCTTTTCCCCTCTTCTAAAGAAAACTGTTTCTGGGAGTTCTTTCAGGAGCCATTTTATAGAGAGTGGAGGCACTCTTCTGCTGACACAATTTGCTTGACTAATTAGATATTGCACTTTTATAAAATTTTTCTTTGTGGACAAACTGGGCTACGTATAATATGAAAACCAGTGGACTAAACTGGTAGAATAGTATCTGTTAAAATGTATAAAATGTTTTTATGTATTATCTCCTTAGATATTTTCAATGTAAAATGTACATTCTAAAGGTAAAATGTGTGTTATTTGCTACTATATTGCCAGTTGTATAGAACAAATATAGTTTATACAAATACAATTAAGTCTTTTTAACAAATAAGTGTGATAAATGAATGAACAACTTTGGAAGACAGAGAAAGCAAATATGTTGAATTTTTGTCAGAAAAGAAAAGAACCTTAAAGGCTGGGGATTTAGCTCAGTGGTTCTGCTGCCTGCCTCGCAAGCACAAGGACCCAAGTTCGATCCCTGGTCCAAAAAAAAAAAAAAGAACCTTAGAATAGCAGACTTGTAGAAGATCACACTAGCAGTAAGTAAAAGAATCAAATGAGCCCATGCCCTCATTTCTTGACTCTAATAATCTTGGGGTCATATCTGGAAGAAAGAAGAGAAGGAAAAATGAGTGGAGAAAAAAAGAAGGGAGGATGGAAGTAAAAGGGAGGGAAAGGGAAAGAGAAAGAAAAACAAAAAAGAAGTGAAAGGAAGGAAAGGAAGCAAGGAGGGAGGAGGAAAGGAAGGAAGCAAGGGAAAAAGGAGAAATGTTTATTTTATTTTCAATGGTATCGGCGGCTACTCATTTCTTTGAGCAAGGAAAGATAAACTATCTTAAAGCAAGAAAACAAAATGTTACCTTCTTTTCTTTTAACTTCATTTTTTAAAACCTAAATTGATAATACGAATGAGTAAATATTCTATTTTAATGTGAGTGGTTTATGAAAACATCACACTTCTCTTTTAGAAAGTAAAGGGATGTTTTTTATGACATCAACTCTTTGGGAAACCCATGCCCATGTCAAGTGGCTCTTTCTCCCAGCAGCTAGTTCCTTCCCCTTTTCACAGTCCTGTAAACACCTGAAAGGGGCTGGTTTTTCAGTTCCTCTTTCTTTTTGTCTGAGACTGCCGCTGAGCACGCCCCTCCGTCTTGAGCTGGTTCATCTGACCCGTTTCCTGGAGGTAAAATGGTGGAAGGGTCAACAGAGGGATGAGAAGGTACAAGGGCAAAAAAATCACATCAGTTTAACGTTTTCTACATGTCAACACTCTGCACTTAGAAGCCCTAAATGGACACAGAGGAAGTTAAAGAGTCAGCGAGTTATGAGCTTTTCTGGAGACTCTCGGAGAGAATTTTTCTGCTTATTCAACTTGTTTGTAGAATTCACTCCCTTATCTTTGCAGGACTGAGGTCCCTATTTATTTCAAGAACTTCTGGGGACCACAGTATTCCTTAAGTCTAGACTTTTTTCTTCATCTTCAAAGATAGCTGTGGTGGGTGAAGTCCTTATTGGTTGCTGTTCTTGTCTGACCTGCTCTGTTTCAGCATCACCTGCTTTTAAAGACTTCAGCGGCTAGATTGGGACCGCTCAGTACAAGACAACCTTTTCATCTGAAGGTCTTAAATCTTAATTATTTCTGCAAAAATTTATTTACACGTTCTGGGATTATAAGGTGGACATCTGAGGGAAGCCATATTCTAATTATCACAAGGAAAATATGTGTGTAATTGATGACTACAAATTCACTTATGTGGATTAAAGATAACTTAAAATGTAATGGAGAGAGCTTTTCCTTTCTAAACAGCCATTATTTACAATTGCTACAAAAAGTGACGGCTATGTAGTTTCCCGTTTGATTAACAAATTGAAAATTGTGTCACCACTTTGTATCAGAAAGTCCAAAAGTGCAGATAACAGTTGACACTTGAGAGGGTGTGTTTTTCCATAAATCTGAAAGAAGGCAGGGGTGTGGATGAGGTAAGATTGAGCAATAAATATTTTTCTCCTACATTCTTCCTTATCTAATTAACTGATCAAATTGCTGTATAAAAAATAAATTCTTATAAACTCATGCATATACTCAACCAAACAATAAAACTAAAAGCCAGGCTAAAAATTAAGATGGATATAAATCAGCAGGATGGAGAAATTAACGTGACACTCTTGTTAAATCTTATAGAAAAAGCGCCCTGTCAGAATACACAGTATTGTGTGCCGCCCCTGGCACAGAGAAGAAACCAAGTATATATTAATTCCCCTCATTTAATTATTTTAAACAAGCATAGTTTATAGACTTTTATGTGCAAAGTACAGTAATGAAAATCTAACTAGTATCTGTTCTTTCCATAATTTTCAGAGCCTTACGATAAATTACTTATTTAATCATAGTATCAGGAGCATCGTGTAGGGAAAAAATTGGCCTCAGTAAAAGTGAGAGTTTTTTTTTTTGTACTATTTGCTTTACATCCTATTACTCCTAAGAATAATTAATGGATTATTGAAGCAAAAACTATTTCTGATTCTTCTGTACAAGGACAGCCACAATAAGAATTTCATACAGAGCTAGTAGTTACCTGGTAAATTACAGCATAATAAGAAAAATTATTAAATGATAGTATAAAAATTCTCAAAAACACTAAGATTTTGATTCATTTTTAGTGTTTAAATTGTTTAGTGGCTATTGCCAGTATGATGCAAATAATTAGTTTTCTAATTAAGGAACTAAAGGAGCTATTGAAAGTACTCTGAAGGAAGTTTTTATTTTAGCTCTAAGCTGTTGAAAATTAAGTTGTAAGGTAATCACTTCTCATCACCAAGATTTTTAAACGAGGAACTGCATCATTACCATTCATTTGCAAAAACTTAAACAGAGTAACTGTCAACATTCTTTCCTCTCCTGAACTTGCTTGATTACTGATAATTTTGTGTTTCTGGCTCTGGGAGATTATACCACTTATAATCTGTATATCCCTGTCATTTGTTTACCTGTACTATTTCCTTTTTGCATGGGTGAGCCAATGAAAAACAACATGTCCGGAAGTCAATTACCTGATGGTGCGAGAAAAGTCACTTTCACTTCCTTCTTACCTTATCCCACCTATGTCTGTCATCAACACAGAATCAAATTCCTCTTCACTCCAAAGACAGACCATGAAAGCTACTCACTTTACACTCTAAGACGTCTTCTGCATTTTGATTTGAAAGTACTATGTGATGATAATACCAAGTCAAATAATAATATTTATTTTTTTTACGTTTAAAGAGCCAATAGATAAAAATGTAAACTGGAAGGTAGGCTTCTTGCATATTTTTTTTGGTGTGGATTTCCTTCATATTTCGGTTTAATAATGAACCTGCTTAATTTTTTTAAAAACAATATTTAGCACAGAGAAGATATAAATGAGCACAGACCAGCCCATACAAGGCTTCCTGGGTGAACTGCAAGTGACACTCAGAGATGTAGGACATGCTCAGTCTTAGCACCTGTACCTCTTCCTTTTCTCCCATCATCCTTTGCCAGAAGGCACAGTTTGGGGAAAAACACCACTCCAATCCAATTTTCCACAGTTAACAAAGGAATACAATCTAAAGGAGAAGCCGGGCATGGTACAGATTACAAATCTGTAATTCAAGCACTGGGGAGGCTCAGGCAAGAGGATTGCTGCCAGTTCCAGGCCAGCATTGGCTCAGTAGTGAGTTTAAGTCTAGCCTGAATTACATAGCGAGATCCTATCTCAAAACCAAAACAAAATAACAACAACAACAAAAATCAAAAGGGGTGAAAAGAAAATGAAAACACTCAGTTGGCAGATTAGTACACTGATAAAACCTACTTTTTCACCTGGTCTATTTGAATTTGCACAAATTAGATTTTTTGAACTTCAATTTTCTTGTATATGAAATAGCAGGGGTCATGCTAACTTCAACAGATGTCCAGACTGTTAGGATGATAGCTTGTAAATGAAAACTGTTATTTTTATTCCACCTCCCGAAGACCCAGATCTCATGTAATAAAGGAAAAAAGTGAGGATGAATAAATTCAATTTTAGCTTAAGTTTATCCTCCTTGATTTGTTTCAGGAAGGCAGTACATCATTCAAAAAGGCGATTTGGTATCCCTGTGGATCGAATTGGTAGAAACCGGCTTTCAAATTCCAGAGGTTAACTGATTCCAATTGTGAGTAAAATTTCAAGAAACATCGATGTATGCAGGTATTTGATTAAACATTTCCATAACAGACTCATTTATCCTTCCTGGCTGAAAAATCATCCTTTTGATTTCTTAGCTCATAAATGCATTTTTGCAAATACTTCTGCCTTCAATTATTGATGATAAATAATTTAAGAGATTTTTAGAAAGCAAACAAATGCCCTACATCTACTTCAAGCTAAGAAAATAGATGCTTGGGCTATTTTCACAATCCTCTGTGTAGTTATAAATGATAACATGGAAATAAGGGTTGAAATTCTTTTTTTTAAGCATTAAAATTCTAATTAACAAATAAATTACCTTCCAAAATACATATAAATAAATTAAAATCCGTTTGTTATAAAGAATACACATTCTAGTCATATGCATCAGTTTTCTATCAGCAAATATATCATGGATTTATGATAATATGGAACTTTAGAGAGAAAATGGTGTAGCAGTAAGAATATTAGACAAAAATCAAGAACCTCATCCAAATCCTGGTTTTGTCACTCATTCATTCATTATTTTGTTTAGACAGAAGGTTATGCAATAGAATTAAAATCCAGAAAGTGTAACTCCTGGGTTATATATGTCAAACCCTTTATTTAATCACGAATATTATATGTTTTCAAGTTTCTTGCCTGAAATCCAGGTGAGATGTTTTCTGTCAGTGGGTGGACTCACAGAAGGCAACCCCTTCCTCCCAAACATTGAAGAGACCTGGAACTGCTTTCCACATTTCAGGCTAGAAAAGAAGCAACGCCATCCTCTGCTTCTCCCCCAGTGACCCTCAGACCATTGAGAGGGAAACCCCAAATCACCACCTGAGCTCTGATCCTCTCATAATTTAGATCACTCCGTTTTCCCTTCTGCTCAAAGATTTTAAAGCCGCAAGAAAGGATCCATATTTTTTTCAGAATTATTTGATGAAGAAAATGTTGTTATACAGGGATCTGTGCATTCGTGATGTTTTGCAGTGACTGAGTGCCTGCAAACCCAGGAGCAAACTACTGAACACCGGCGAGCACCATCTGCAGAATACAGATTGAAATGTTTTTCTTCACACCTAGAGATGTACCACATGTGGTCATTCCTTGGGCTTGCTAATAATAGTCACACTCTACTTGAGTAAGGAGAAGCTTACTAATTACTATGAAAAAACAAATATCAACTTGCTGTCCTCCAGTTTCTGTGTTAACATTGTGACACCGAGATTCAAATAATTAAGTTGGTTGTTTTCTACATGTATTTTTGCTACTTTTGATTATCACTCATTTTAATGCTTTGGATTTCAACCGAAGCGAGTATTACCAAACTATTAAGGAAACTAAGTTTCATGCAAATATTCAAATGAAGTCTGACACCACAGAAACTCTGAGCAGTCACTAAATTATGAAGAAAGCTGAGGTAGTTTCCTAAATTTTGTTGGGTCAAGTCCAAGTCCATACATTGTGTCTTTTTTTTTTAGAGACTTTTGAGCATCTTGACAATGACTACCATCGTTATTAAATCTTAAGAAGGTTTGCTACCATAAAGTCTTAAGAGCAATATCACAAAAGAATAGATTTACAAAATAACTTAACATCATATATTTTCTCTTTCTCTTCTTTCAATCACTATGGGTTTACGTGCTCAACCCTTACATTTCTATTTATTACTTCCCACAATTATCACAAGATTTTACAGGCATTAATTTCACTTCCTCATGTGAAAATTTCATGTTTTTACTTGAAGGACAAAACCCATGAAATACGAATATATTTATAATTTTCATTCAGATTTCAAGGTTATTTTTGATATATTCATTTCCTCTGTCACTGTATCACCTGAGTCAGACAGGGGATGTAATATGTGTATCATTTACTAGCTAAAATTTAACAATTACAAGAAAATGCTCATATACTCACTCTGCTAAGTAGATAGGTTCAAGGACTTAAAGTCTTATTTCACCCAATCCTAGTTTATAAAATAACTCAGCAAATAGGGGCTGTAAGAGGAAATTGATTTACCCAAAATTTTATACCCTCTTGCCCACAGCCAGCTGTAATACCCAGATGGTTGGCCTTGTAGCTCACTCCTCTGTTCATGGCCCATCAAGGATGCTTGGGGCTAAATTGTCATGGCTGGATGGTAACTTCACTGGTTGACATTTCTAAAAAATAAAGAAACAGTGTTTCGAAAATCCTTGTTTCACTTCTGTGGGTGTTGAAGAATTCTCTTGTTAAGCAGGTTTAGTTGTGGGTTTTCACCTTCTGGCTTCTACTTTACGGCTTCCTACTAAAATTGAAACTGACACCTAATCGTGGAAGTTTTGCTTGGTCTGAGGTCAACTCTACATACAGCAGCTGTGCATTACCCTGTTTTCAACCAGATGCCAATGTCTTCTCTGATACATGTTTTGGAAAGAAACAGTCTGATATTTTCACAGATCTTTTTTCAAAAATTTTATTAATACGTGATCACAGGACATGAAGTTTATATTCATCTTGGGAGATCAGTGTGTTTACATACTACAGCTTATTTTCTTAATCCCTTTCCCCTTCGTACCATTCCTCCACCTCTGAATTCCCTTTCTTCCTTTATATTCCTATTGTGATTATGATTCTTAGTTTATGTTTATGGCATAATGTTTAAATTCATTGAGATTATCAGTTCCTGCACATGGCATATCTACATTCATCTTACTTCCTCTTCCTCTCTCCCTTTCTCCCCCTCCTTGATCTCCTGAAACCCTTCCCATTGGCAAGAGACCTTCTCCCTTATTTTCTCCTCTCCATCATACTCAAATGAGTGCTACCATAGGCTATTTGAGTTTGTATGTCTGATTTCTTTCACTTACCATTATATATTCTAGGTGCATCCTTTTCCTACAAATGTCTTGAATGTATTCTTCTTTATAGCCGAGTAGTATTCCACTATGTATAAATAACATACTTTCTGTATCCATTTGTCTGTTGATGGGCATACAGGCTGCTCCCAAGATTTAGCTCCTACAAGTTGTGCTGCTATAAACATTGGGATGCAATACAAATCTTTACTATATTGGGCCAAATTTTGAGTTTTTAGTGGACTTTAAACTACTGAAATTCAAAGTGGCATTGTGGTCTAAGTTATCAGAGCGTCTCTTGGTGCAATTAGTAAGTTTTCTATCTCTGCCATTGGCATCAGGGTGCCTACCTGGGCAAATTAGATATATGATGATTGGTTATCCTGCCATGTAAAACCACAGGTATTATGACAGTTTTCTTAATAATGTGAGATGTGTGTTGATTTTTTATACTAGCAATTTTTATCTAAGAGAACTATTGATATGCCATTATTCAAATAAATTAATATAGCTCTCAATATAGCAGGAATATTATGTGTAAATGAGCAAAATATACCATTGTCAGTATGCTACTTTAATAATAAACAGAATGTTATATCACTTGCTATTGCAATATCTTTTGAATCAAGGTTAAAAACAAACAAAAAAATAGTAGCTCTCTGAAGAAAAGAATCGGACCAGAGACATTTTATAATTTTATTGAAATTTGAGCAAAATACCTGGATTATACATTTAAAATGCTTGTTTTGATGCCTTTAAATCTGAAATTATAAGGTTGTTTTAGTAGCTTCAAAATAAAGACATGCCATGTAAATGAAAGCTATAATGAAACCGTGTAATTAGAGGTTTAGCTCTTCTTTATTAAAGCAAGTGTATGTTTCCTCATCTGCAGAGTTCCAGTGAGCTTTAACAACTTCAGCTTTCATTTTTGCAGATGCAGATTCTTCATGTGAAATCTCCCAGAAAATACAAGATGCTTCAGTGAAGTCCTTCGTAGTCTTTAAATGATTAAACTTTCAATTTACTGATTTCTGCAAATCCTTCCAAAGCTTGAACTTTAGTCCATCACAGCATAGTATTGTTTAGGTTTTATTCAATTGTCTGATTATTTTGATGGATATGCATTTTTAAAATAGATATTTAACTCTTCAGAAATGATCACCCACCCCTTAAATCACACTTTTAAAAATAACAGTCAGAATATATACTAAAGTGCCTTCTCTCTGTATTCACCATTCTTTTTTATTTACAGTTAAAGAGTAATAATGAAAGATTTGATTCTGTAAAAATAGCTACAACCTATTTGTTTATTATTTGGGAATAAGGAATGCCAGTACTGTGTGCTTTCTCTTGAGTGCTTTTACTTCTTCCTTTGTCTACAAACCTGTTGGTTTCCAATAATGAAACTGGGTTTTTCTTGTTATATTCAAGTTTCCCTGAAGTTTAACCCAATAAAACATGATTCCAGTGATCTGGGAAGTTTCAGTGAGTTAAAATGAAGGAAGTGAAGGATATTACTTGTTTGTTAAACTTCAAGACCTCTTATCCCCTGAAATTTCTCTGAATTTTAACTAATAGTTAATTAAGAGCAGCAATGTTTCATTGCGAAGGGATCAGCCTCATGCAGAAGTAGCAGATGAAAGTAGAGGAGTAGGGCCAGGGTTATGCTGCCTATCTCACAAGTGCAAGGACCCGAGCTCAATCCCCAGAACCAAGAAAAAAAAAAGTAGAGGAGAAGTTAAAGAATCCTGAAATAGCAAACAAAACCCTAGAGCAGTCTGGAGCAAGAAAAATACACATCATTTTAACAAGTTCCATTTAAATTAAATCAGTCCATTTAAATTAAAATGCAATCTTTTTGAAGTTGCTAGCTCTTCTAGTAAATTATTTAATGTTTCATATACTGTACTTCATAAAGCATTGAAGAGGATTAGGTATTTGCATGTGATTTGTTTTAAATAAGAAGCCTTGAATTAAAGTATCAAAACATAAGCTTAATAGTCTAGAAAGTTCAGTTGTCAGCAATAAATGATTTTAGTTTAGTCTAGACACATAAGCCCTTGGTGCATCAGAATTGCATTCAAAACACACACACACACACACACACACAATAACTTAGGACATGCGGCACAGATGCAGCATTAGTGATTTAGCAGAAGCTCATGGAGCCCCTGGAATGCTTTTCTCTCAACACAAGCAATCACTGCCAAACAAAACTGATGTGGGAAGGGAAAAAGTTTTGTCTAGAAAAGGAAAGGTTTATTTTAACACAAAAAGAATGTTACATGAAGATGTCTTCATATTAAAAGAAGAGAAAAGAGGATTTAACAATCTGAAGTAAAGATTAACTAATGTACAACTCGAAGAATAAACTCAGCCATCATAGTGACAAAAATATATCAGAAAGTAATTTAACTAAATAATTTGCTTCTATAGAAGATTAGTCATTCAGTTGTCCAAATTGTCTTTTAAAAATCCAGTTTGAAAGATCTTAAAAGGTGAAATAAATGAACATGAGTATTTGGTACACACAGTTATTTTAATATGTAATTGCTTAGTTTCTCTGAAAAATTTCAAACTGCTAGAACTCTTCTGATTTAAGTTTAGGAAATAAAACAGTAAATGAGTGTATATTTTAATTATAGTAGAAGAGTATAATAAAGAGATTTTGGAAAAAAATAAATAATCATATTCTTCAAAAACTTGTATCACAAAGCTAGCAACCTTCCCTGGATGAATACTGGCAGAACTCACAGCTTGAACAAATCATTTTAGAAGTAGCAATCTTTCTTGTTCACCTTCTTCCAGACTTTTGATGAACTACCAAACAGTTTCATATTTCTCAGGTGCTATTTCTTTGCCTTCTCTCCTGGTTGAGTATTTGTAAACTTCTAATCCAACCAGGTGTTTCTAATCCAACCAAAGCTGCCAAACCTCACTTCAGCCTAAACATTTTTTCATGGTAAAGATTTGAAGTTGTACATAACAGGTTGATTTTCTATATTCTTTTTTATTTAAAATAAGACTATGATATCCATTTTAACCAAACTAAGAGATAGCAGTGTTTTGATTTTTGTTCCATTCTAATGTGTATACACACAAGAAGTTCACAAAGGAGAAAAGATATTTCTCCACTTATAACTGTTTCATTTCATGTTTTAATTTTTGCAACCACTTTATACAGAATAGAAAATGAGTCAACAATATACTAGCTTAAGTGGGGTCTTTTTAATTAAGTGGGGTCTTGAATTGTAAATGAAGACATCATTTTTGTTAAAAATGTGACGACTCATCTCATTTATTAGTTCAATGCATTGCATATCTCTACATCTAACTATATTTCATTTAAATAGTCCCAACTTGAAGGACTTTGTTATGTTTCAAAATGACATGTTATCCTTTTTTCTTGGTGTTCCTGTGTGGAGCTACATGGAGAAAATGAATACGGATTTCTGAGTTCCACTGTCAATTATATAGCCAACTTTTTGGAGCGAGCATCAAGTCCTGGCTACATTGTTTTAAAATTTACACTATACAAACTCTGTCAAATTGAACCTTTAAGCTACACATACTTCTAGAGAACTAAATTTCCTGAAGTACGTTGTTTAAAAAGCAAAATCTTCCAAAAAGAAGACCAACAGCTTTTCAATAGCATTTTGCTTTATATCTAAAGGTATAGTATGCGTGAATACTGCTCAGCCCTTCCAGAGTTAATAAACTTGAGAAGATGAAAGCAGCCATTTCTCACCTTTCTTTCTGGCAATATTTCATTCGTGTGCACAACTGTTGTACATAAAGAGGAACATCTCCAGGCATGACTGTGCAACTTTTACTAGTGTACACTGGAGTAACAACTACATGCTCTCTGCAGGTGCTCCAGATGGTCTATTTTATGGTAGTTTTTTTTTTTGTTAAAGCAAAATTGTCCATTCTATCTTATGAGATAGTTTATCTTTAAAACACTACACATTTAATTCTATACAGATAAGCATTTCTTCCCCATCCTGTGAAGTAAAAGCATGCCTGTTTGTTCATCTCTTCGGCCATCACACACTTGTGAAGTCACTGTTACTCACTCGCCGTGAAGTTGCTTTGACAATATGTCTGTGGCGGGTGGAATTAAGGTTAAACTCCCAGCCTTGGGTTGATTAAGCTTTTCAGATGTAAGCAAGAGCAGTGGAACAAAAACCCAGCAAGAGAAAGCCAATGTGCTGTTGGTGTTTGGCACACTTGGTTAGCCTCTTACAGGCACGCTGAGAGCCTGAGGTGGTTCTGATGCTGTGGAGAAGTCATCAGAACTGCGATACCCAGGGCTGGGGTTTTAGCTCAGTGGTTGCACTTCGTGCATTGCAAACACAAGGTCCCAAGTTCAATCCCAGGTACAAAACAAAAAAAAATGAGATACCTAAAGGCAAATTCTGCGTGGAAATTTTCCTATCATTTTTTTTATTTCTGAGACACCCGAAGTTACTTGGTCCTACAGTCCAACAAATGATATATTTCTACTTGTTAGTAATATATTCATTTTGTCCTGTTTATCTAAATGATAACTGTCCAAATTAACTGAGCAAAGAAGAGGGTAGCCAGCACAATCAGGAAAAAGAGAAAGAACAATCATACGTCGTTTTCACGCCAATTGAGACAATAGAATTTATTGTAAGTTTCCAAGGTGCTTTTTAAAAATATTTTAATCGATAGCTAAGCAACATAGCCATCACAAGACAAAACTGTATATGGGCAATGAATTTATGGAACGCAATACAGCAGATAGCAGCACTCTGAACTTCAGCTCAAAATTCATTTTGACAGTCTCACGTCACTCAACAGTGCAATTGATCAGCCATTATTCACATTAAACATTATTCAACATTAAAGTTATCAAAACACATTTTCTAACAAATTTGTAAAGAGAGAATATAGTATGCAGGGCCCCACTTCCTTGTGCTTAAAAGATCTGTACTCTTTAAGTAATAGAATATATATAGATATCTTTTCATAGTGTTCTTATCATAATGCATGCAAAGAAAAGGCTTTAGACACAGTATTTCCAAAAGCAAGCTAGAGGAAAAAACCAAAGAAAGTCTTTATTAGAAAGGTATTTTATGAAATCTTATGCTTGAATGAAACCATCTACTGAAGAGCGTTTTATAAAAACGTGTGTTCAATACGGTAGCTACTACTTTTATATGAATATTTAAATTGATTAAAGGTAAAGCAATAAAACGTTCAGCGTCTCCATCGTGTCACGTGATCCACAGTGACTTGTAGCCAGTGACTACCAGAATGAGTGGGGCTAATTCGAGGAGGTCACCGTCACAAGGTGTCCCATTGTACAGTGGGTCCCACACACAGTAGACCAGCCTAGAGGACTCACAGCTCTGTCACACAAAACGGAAGTCACATAAGTAAAAGGGCTAACTGTGCTCCTATTTATTGAGGAAAGAGGAAGGAAAAGAGTTTAAATATCACTTTGCCAGCCACCAAATAAATTTAAGTAGATTCACTCTTTACGGCATTAAGTTTCCATACTCTGACCGTGAAAGGATATTGCACACAAACCAAATTTCGTGCCTCTTTAATCTCCAACTGCATAAATGAATCCTTGTAAATCTTCTGCAGGCCTTTCCCAATCGCCTGACAATAGCTTCATCTAACTTATTATAAATGGTCTCTCATTTCCTTTTGTCTAAATGGCTTATAAAACTAAAACCTTTGGAGATGAGTCTTTGATTCAGTGTTAGTTAACAGGGTGCACAATGAAAGAGATTTCAAAACCCTCATAAAATAATTCAGCCACTGGTTAAAATAAATGATAAAAGTCAATCCGCTTGCCCAGCTTTCTGCTGCCAGCTAGATCCACTTTCCAAACTTGGACCCTTGTACTTATCACCACACAAGCACAAAATATTATGACAGCACTTGGCCTCTACTTCTCGTTTCTGCCAGAGAGCCACAGCTTTTCTTAAGGAAAACCACATTCAGACCCTGCGAAAGCAGAAGTCTATTTTCAGACATGGAACTGAGGACCTTGGCCCACTACTCTCGT